ACCCCACCATTACAGACCATAGCAACGTAGGCTACCATTACAGACCTTGGCAACTTCGTGAAAAAAAAATTCTGTTCGAAATTGAGAGATAAAAATATAGCATTTTCTAATAATCGATTACCTTTAGAAAAGAACTATTAACTTTTGGGAATTTTAAATATTGGGTATTTTGTCATTAGTATAATGAAACCAAAGGAGATAGGTGAGTTCCACATTTTAGCCCCAAAGGGGCTGCGCTAATAAGCTTTCTTCTCTCTCTGTTCCAAGATACAGCCATGGTAAGAGTACGTTTGTGAGATCACTCATACACCAGTAGATTCCCATGTTCTTATTTTAGTATAGGAGAGTTAGAAAAACCTAAAAATTTAACAGTACACTATGCTCATGGAGGGCTATATATAAGCAAAATTTGAAGTTGAAATTCGGAAGTCAGTTTTTCTAATGTTCCTGAGGGGGGCCATAGCCTTGGGCTAAAGCAATACCAGTAGAAATACAGTATCTTAACAGCAACAAGCTATCAGCCCGAATCTTTTTACAGTATTAATAACTCGTTATGGTGTACATGATCCACATAGTCCCGACTTAAAAGCAATTTATCACTTGGGGACCTACCCTCGTGAGTGAAACTATTTCGAACATTTGATAAAACAAACTCTTGAATTAGCTTGTGTCTCTGTTGTTTTTCTTCAAAATCTCATTTCTTGTCGTATACTAAGTAGCTGTTTGTGACGTTTGAAATACTCTCTTTGGTCGTCTAAATTTTCCTCATAAGATGCTCATTAAAGTGAAAAAACGAAAATCAAACATACCGAGTTAATGTTACTGATGATTTCCTCCTACTTGGTTGAGTATTGTGCCAGTGAGACAAGCACGTTGTTTGTCAAATAATTTTTTCTCATATTTTTTCATCATAGCAACAGTTCGATCTCTTTTGCCTCTTTTATGTTTTTCATTTTAAATTCTTTTCGTCTGCACATTCTTTTCTGAAGGACTCCATACAGCAACAGTAAAACATGCAAAGTAAACAGTTCGAGACGACTCATTGTAAACAAGAACAAAAATCATATTTGCACAAAGAACTTTAGTTCCTAGAAATTGTATACGCCTAACATTGGATATTTTAGAGCCGGATTCGAGTATTTAGTAACTGAGCTCGCCTCTAGTATATACCAAACTCTAAAAAGGCTATACCAACATAGATCTCGATGAGTTCTATCCATTCCACTACTTACTTTTTCACAGAACCCCCGCTTCAAGGAGAAAAAAACCCGAAATACTAACAAAAAATAAGCAAAAAAACAATAGTTTTCCATAAAACGCGCCGCGATTAGCTCATAGGCTAGACTAAACAACGAAATTTTACCCACAGATAGAACTTCAAGCGTTCTATTCAAAACTCACGTTTCCGACTCGATTCCGTTCACAGATCTCTGGAAAGCCAGTGCGACAAGATACCGCATTAGTTTTTATGCGTATTTCGCACCTGTATTCGCCTGTAGCCTATACCAAACTCATATAATGGTATATCAAGATAGAACTCTTGGAGCTCTATCGAATGAACACCTTTTTAGCTCGATTCCATGCTAGGATTCGTTCCTAATCGGCAAATCCTTGTCCGAAACTGGGTTTCCACTGTATTTCGCATCTGGATTCGCCTATAACTTATACTAAAATCAGATAATTGTATCCCAAGAAAGAACTCATCGAGTTCTATCGAATTGGCAGTTTTCCAGCTCGATTTGATGCTTGGATCCTATCTCAAAGGAAAAATCCAAATCTCAGTTGGAAACTATCTTCAGGGTGATTCCATGCGTTGTATTAGTTTCCAGGAAATTGATTTTACCGTAAACAGTTCTGTAAGATTTTACATTGAACACAATAGGCATAATGGGTGCGATGCTATGTGACTCCTGGTAAAACTCATTTCTTCGCACCTGCACCTGGTGCGGCGTTGTGAGAGTCTCTTTCGGTGAAACTCCTTTCTTCGCACCCTCACCTGGTACCATGTTGCGTCAGTTTCTCCCGGTGAAACACATTTCTCTGCACCCTCACCAGCTGCGATGTCGCGTGAGTCCTTCTTGGTGAAACTCCTTTCCCCGCACCCACACCTTGTGCGATGTTGCATGAGTTTCTCTCGATGATACACCTTTCTCCGCACCCTCATCTTGCCCGATGTTATGTGAGTTTCTCTTCGTGAAACTCCTTTCTCCGCATCCCCACCTGGTGCGATGTTGTGTGAGTTTCTCTCCGTGAAACTCCTTTCTTCGAACCCACACCTGGTGCAATGTTGTGTGAGTTTCTCTCAGTGAAACTCCTTTCTCTGCACCCTCACCAGCTGCGATGTCGTGTGAGTCTTTCTTGGTGAAGCTCCTTTCTGCGAACCCACATCTCGTACGATGTTGTGTGAGTTTCTGTCGGAGAAACTCCTTCCTCCGCACCCTCACCTGGTGCGATCTTGTGTCAGTTTCTGTCGCTGAAACGCCTTTCTCTGCACCCACACCTGGTGCGATATTCTGTGAGTCCTTCTTGGTGAAACACCTTTCTCTGCACTCTCATATGGGTGTGGGTGTGGTGAGTGTGAGTGTGGGTGTCGGTGTGGGTCTGTGGGGGCTGTGAGCGTGGGTGGGTATCGATGTGTGGGTGGGGGTGGGGGTGAGGGTAAGTGTGGGTGTGGGTGTGTGGGGGTGGGGGTGGATGTGGGTGTGTGGGTGGGGGTGAGCGTGGGTGTGGGTGATAGAGATGAGAATACCAATACCCACCCACCCACACCCACACCCACACACCCACACCCACACACACCCACACACACCCATACCCACACCCACACCCACACCCTTCACGGTAGGAGTCAGTTATGAAACAACTCTAATAATGTATAAAGAATAAATGAAGAATTTACAAAAGCAAAAAAAAATATGGTGATAAAAAGTGTAGATTGTTCTTCTTATATAAGAAGTCATTGTCTTAAACTGAAATAGTTGGTTGCTAAAATTGTCTTTGATAAACTTCATGTTGTTGATGGTGAAATTTATGAGTATTTAGTTCAACATGATCAAGTACAAAACTATGGTAACCCAAATTTAAAATATCAAAAAAAACTATAAACTAATTAGCCTGAAAATTATTCAAGAAATGTAGCTGGATATGCTTTAATTACTTTTTGGTGTATATTTTATTTCATACATTGCTGCATCGTCAAATGAAGCTGTTAATATTTAATAAAAGAATAATAAAGTGATGGATACATCCATAAGAAATCATAATAGAAAATATTAAAGAGAAAGGAAAACGTCATGATGCATTCGAGGTTAAATAGGCTCAACCAATTCAAAGTAAATGAAAAAAGATGATTGACCTTTCTATCTAGCAACACTAATCCTATTGGGTAGTTCATTTTCAATTGGTCCAATCTCTTTATTACTCTTCCTACATAGAACAACATGACGGTATAAATATTTCTCTGTCATTCTTCTAATGGATGTCAACAAGGAAATGCAAATATATATATAGATTGACACGATTACATTATATGAATTAAACATGGACAAATCTAATAACGTTCAACACAATATACTTGATTTACCTGATGAAGTTTTATTCATCATTTTCAAGAAACTCAACATTATTGATGCTTTTTATTCACTTTCTGATATCAATCAACGATTTAATCGATTAGCACTTGATTTTCTTTATATTCGTCATCTTGATATGACCACTATTACAAACATGAATTCACTCTATAACCAAATCTCTTCAATAGATCCTCAACTTCTTTCAAGAATTTGTCAAAAAATCTTACCTCCACTTCATCATGAAGTATATAAACTTACTGTTGAACAAGATTCCATGAAACAAATTCTTCTTGCTGCCAATTATCCTAGACTTTACTCATTATCGCTTATAAATTTTGAAGAAAAAATAATTTATCAATATTTAACAGGTATAGTATTTGATTCTTTGAACTAAGAAAATAATCAATCTAGCTAGATAAAAATTTATTTTATTTTTTAAAGATAATTTAGTTCTTCGTGATCTTCTTACCAAACAAATAACACATCTTAATATTGATATAAAAAAACCAGTAGACTACTGGTCGGATACTCTTTTAAATATTATTGCATTAATCTTATCTTTATGTAAAAAATTAACTGTTTTGAATTTTGGTGATATGTTTATCACACGAAAGTTTGCGATTCCTTTTTTTTCTGTCATCAGAAATTAGTATGTCATCAACTTTGATGAAATTGACAATCAATGTCTTGAATTTTTCTGATTGTCGTTGTGTGGTTGATGGGCGTTTTCCATGTTTATTAACATTAATTATTAACGTTGATAATGTTTTGGACCCAATGGAAGATATAGGTGAAACAGTAAGTATAATTTTGAATGATCATGCTTATAGAAATAATAGTAAACCAAATAAATTTATTTTGTATATAGAAAAAACTTCCCAAATTGAAATCTTTCTCATTCACGTCATGTTATCTGATATTTAATTATGATACTTTGATTGTTCCATTACTTTGTCAAATGATAAATCTTGAAGAATTAAAATTATATCTACATGTAGGAAGATCTAATTCGACTTTTATCGATGGTATTCAATTATATGATCAATTACTTATTCATATGACACAATTAAAAAAATTTACATTTAATATCAAGACAACCGCCTTCAAAAATAAAAATAACACTAGAGTTGAACTTCCGTCGAATGAAGATATTCAACATAGTTTCGTCGGAAGAGGTTATCAACAAGTAGCTTCGTATGTTCACACGAAATCATCTGCATGGGATGGCGAATGTCATATCTATTCACTGCCATACGACTTCGAATATTTTGTTAACCTCGACAATTATTTTCAAGGCGGCATGTTTCATAAACTTCGAGAATTAACAATATGTGGTAGAGATCCTTTGGAATATAAATTATTTCAAATCATTTCTCATGATTTTCCTTTTCTCGATGTCTTATATATATCAAATAGATATTCAATAAAAGACAAACAATATTCATCTAAATTGATCACATTTCCTTATCTCATATTTCTTGATCTCCAATATACACATGTTGACTATCTCGAATTATTTCTCTTGAAAAAAAATACTTATCTACCTCATTTGTTAAATCTCTTTATGGAATATAAATCACTCACGATGATAACAGATAATTTTACCAATAATCGAACGCATTTCAATTTTGGTAAATTAAAAAGTCTTGATGTATGCGAATCTTTTGTTCGTCCAGAAAATTTTCATGAATATTTTCCTTTGTTATAAATTGTTTCAATAAAAGAAAATACTTAGAGAAGATTAAATATCTTTTTTTTAAACTATGGTGCAACAAAAAACACAAGTATAAATATAATCAATTCGTTCAATTTTCTCAGACAGATAGAAAAATCATTGATTTTATTTTTATGTTTACATATGTCAATCAAGACAATTGTGGGAAATAAAATAAACTGTTTACATAGATTTTACAGAGAAAATTATTTCTTTCGCTTTTCTACTAAATTCTTATGAACCATACCGATTTAAAGATAATATTTGGTCATTATAGTTGTACGACAAGGAAAAAGATAATGGCATTGGAATCTATTGAAAGAAATCCAATATTTGATTTATTAAATAAATATTATCTAATTCAAATGATGATTTAGACATGATTACATCAGACATTATTGATAAACAATGTTCATACAGACCGGGTGTGGGTGTGGATAAAGAATATACCAAAATCCACACCCACACCCAAGAAAATCTCGGAAATCAAAAGAAAAAAAGGATTCTTTTTGAAAATGATAAATACAATAATTATACAATTAGATATAGCATCTTCAGTTGAATTTTATATCAGACATTGAAAAAATAAATTTATATTCATTAATACAAGATTTATACTTTCAAGATTGATATTCTCACAAAATTTTTAACTATAAAAGATTTTTTTCATTAACAAAAAGAAATGCACATTTATCTTTGCTTATGCTTGAAAAACTACAATAAATCGATCAATTAGTTTTAATTGAAGTAGAGCAATAGATAGATTTTATTTTGTAGAATAAATATCAAAAGTGATTGACTCTTTTTGAAAGAAAGAACTAACGTAATATTGGAGATTCTTAAAAAAACAAAAAATATTCTTAAATAAAACAATAGTTACATTTTATTCTAAATGAACAAGAAGTGAATTGACAATTTGTCATGAAAGACTTTTCTCTCTCTCTCTCTCACATTCATTTCGAATACTATTATGAATAACTGTTAACAAACGTCAAACATATAACAATAGAAATTTAATATCACATACACATAACATGAAATTATGTCGTTGTTTTTTTTTTAAATAATCAATTTTACAATGATTAACATGTCTAGTTTTGATGCAAACGTTTCCTTTTAATATCCTTTATCAATCATATGAGTTTAGACTTTAATTTCTAAATATTGTTGAGTTCTACTCATCAATATTATGATTGTTTTTTATTATTGATTCACAGGAGAATTATTAAATTACGATTTGTTTAATAAAAATCAAAAACCTAATTGACTAATCTATAACATTTTCTTCGCACAAACATAAATTTTCAGGGAGAAAGTAGTTCTGTCACTTACACTAATTTTCAGATTTTGAGTTTCAATGATAACTTACATCTCATCGAAGGATATTCTTTGTTCATTATTATTTAATAAAACTTGTTAGCAGTTTTAATTTTTCGTAAAATGACTATTCATTCTAAAAAAACATTAATTTCTTATATTGAACATGCTAAAGTAGTGTTTGAACGATAAACATTTATTGTGCTTCAAATTATTGATTATCTATATTAAATCGAACAAAAACTAAATTCTATAGAGTTGTTTCTGATGGTGCTAAACCTACACTAAACAAATTTTAACGATAATTTGTTTTTCTTGAAAAGATATTTTCTTTTCTTTTATTCTTATGTGTTTCCAATTCATTTCTACTTGTTAATAATTCATCATAATGTTTTATTAAATCTTTTACTTTAATAATTTACTTTCAATAAAATCTATTATGTAATAATATAGAAAGAAATTCCACCCAACCATAAGTGAAATATAATTATAGAGCATAACCTGAAATAGTTTCTTCAAATTATTTGAAATTGATTAATTTTATGTGTAAGTAAATGATATTTAGAAGTAAAAGAGAGAGAGAGAGAATGAACTTCATCGACATTTAATAAGCTACAATAAGCATGAATTAAAATTAATGTACAAGGAAATCGAATAGAACATCAGGAAAACGACATTCATTTATATTATCATATTTTCTAAGAGTTATCTTTAGTTAAATGAAAACTATAAAAACAAGAATAGATCGAATTTGTTTTTTTTTTATTTTGGTCTCATATGGAAATTTCTAGTTGATGCGTGACATGAACAAAACAAATAAATCATCGATTGTCAAATAGTTATTGTATGAATAATAGTTAAACAATAATCCATCAATGAACTTTTTTGTAAAAACAAAATTAAATGAGATAGATTCAGAGAATTTATAAGAGAGGAACTAAAATAAAGATGTTACTGCAATGTGTATGAGGCTGTTTAATTCTAATGACTTGAAGGCATATTAATGAGACGCATCTGATATACAGTTTGCGTGATGTTCAACGTTTCTTTTGTTTTGAAGACCATTAACTTATTGATATGGAAGCATAAAATTTGTAGGATATAATTAAATGAATGTTCTGTTAAGAGAAAAAATAGGTATTGAGATTTTTTTTGATGATTCTATCGATCCTAAGATAGAATTTTGGTAATAGTCTATCATAGAGATGGTTCAGGTAAACCAGTTGAGTTATCATTATTATGTTAACGATAGAATTAAATCAAGATAAATGATACATTAAACATTAGTAAAAGCACTTTTTCTTTTTCAATGAAATTTTTCTATTGAAATATTTCTTCTCTATGTTAGACTCTTTCACCCAATTTTAATAGTAAGATATTTGTTTAAAGTTTTGTCCATAGAGAAGTTTGATATTCAAGGGAATTATCCGAAACAGAGATGGACGAGTCAGCAAAAAGGTTGCACCGTCACCGCCCCGTCCCGCCCCGTTGATAAAGTTCCGCACCGCCACCGCCCCGCCTGTTCAGCATTGAAACCGTCACCGCCCCGCCCCGCCCCGTCCAAAATATGTTTTCAAAAACTATTTCTTGACAAATTTTTCATTAAATTTTCATAATGGCTATTTCATTTCATGAGATGACGAGGCATATTTTAAATGCATAAACATCATTCCGAAATAGAAAAAAATAAACATATGAAAATGAAAGGCAATTATAATACAACCACTCATTTTGTGGAACTCACGTATATTTTCGAAGAAAATAGTGATTGTAAGTGTTAAGTTTGAGATTTGGCGACTCTCCCCCTTCTTCCACTCCATTACAGACACCCCACCCAGGGTTGCCAGATCTTCCGATACGGCAGGAAAAATTCCGATTTTTTGAAAGTTTCTCCAACGACTTTCCGACGTTCCGAGTTTTTCCGATTGCCTAATTTTCCTCCGGTTTTCGAAGTCTTGTTTGTGAATTCAAGTTCTTAGGACATTTCAGAATAATTTAACTATGACGCGATACCACACATATATTGCGATCTATTTCACCATAATTATCGGGTAGTGAAGCGTCATGAACTCAACAAACCACACTGCAGTGATTTGAAAGCATATCCTCCAATAAAACTATGATGTTTTACAGACAATTAAGATCCAGTTTTCTATCACGATGAACTAACTTTCTCTGTTCGTTTACTATACTGATAATTAAGAACATTTTCGTTTTTGAGCTTTTTTTGTTTCACCACAGATATAATAAAACTAATCATAATCGTATGGGTACTAATTTAGCTGTTGCAGAATTGAAAATCGGAATGAATTCTGTTATACTTGTGGACATTTTTATGAATATCTGTTACCTCAACCTGATATTTTGAAGAGCATTCGAGCTAATAAAAAAGTATGAACAAAAACGAACATTATACAGAATAATGTGCCGATATTGATGACACGGCTCGATGATTCTCCTTTCTTCTCTGGCTGTTCTCTTTCCGTTGTTCTAATATATCACTCTCCTGTCTGTGCTGATATTGATGACACGGTTCGATGATTCTCCTTCCTTCTCTGTCTGTTCTCTTGCCGTTGTTCTAATATATCTCTCTCCTGTCTCTCTTCTATCTCTCTCCTATATATATGCGTATTATGTATGAAGTTGTTACACTCTGGATATGTGAAATAGCTGAATAAACATCATTGCCGAGAATGGCGAAAAGCTATTCAATCCAGTTTGTCGTTACAAATAAGTCTTAGTTTCTTTTGCACAAGTTTTGTGAAATGCATGTGTGTATGAATTTACAATGCTGATTCTATTGTTTCGTCAAGTTGGTTATAGCATCTTTGATAAAAATAATGTGATCCTGTCCAAATGACTTATGTAGCTTTCTTAATCATGAGTAAACTGTGTAATCGATATTTTCTTTAATTCTTTATGAAATATCATTTCCGATATTGCATCGAAAAGATGAACAGAAGCAAGATAAAGGATATTGAAGCTATCAAAAATATATAAACTAGTTATTTAAGCATGGAAAAATACTTTCTGATTTTCTTCCGATTTCGAGAACAAAAATTCCAACTTTTTCCCGATTTTTAGAAAAATTTATCTGATTTTTTAATTTTCGATCTGGTAACCGTGACCACCACCATTACAAACCTCAGCAGCGCATTAAAGGCTCTAGTTTTTTGTATAATATATCAATGATTTCATACATATTCGGAAAAAAGGTATTTTACAATTTAAAAATAAGGCATCAGGACAAAAAATTAAAAAAATATATGTGAGTTCCACATTTTAGCTCCTCTGGAGCTGCGCTAACAAGTCTTTTTTTACTGATTAGTTTTGTGAAAAAATTTTTAAATTTTTAAATGATGTCTCTAAAGGTCTGAGTATATTTAAAAAATCAAGGTTATACAAAGGCGGGGAAACCGCGAAATTTCGTCATGCACCGTCACCGCCCCACCCCGTCAAGTTTTAGCACCGCCCCGTGGCGGGGTGGGGCGGGGCGGGACGGGGCGGTTTTACACCGCGGCTCGTCCATCTCTGATCCGAAAGATAAAAGCTCAATCGATAAATAAAAAAGTCCATTATTTATCATAATTGAAACTCTTTTTTTCTTATTTTCTATATTTGATCTTGTTGATGTGAATCTTTATCTGATGTGATTGAATTTCTACTATTTATATTATTTAGATCTTTGTCACTTAAGTCATTAAAACATTTCCTTTTTTTTTTTTTTTTATTAAGCAATCAAGCCCTATGACCATGTCGGTCCTAAAGGGACACTTTAGCTGCACCATACTTTATGATAAGTAAAAAGAAAGACATAATTAAAAGGAAAGACATGAATAAAAAGGAAAATATGATGAAACAATAAGACGAAATGAAGTAGAAAAAGAAAAGAACAACGAGAATCAAGCTAGGTACCATTCTCTCCCTCATCTTCTTTTTTTTTCCTTGTCTTTCTGCACCTACTTTATTCTTTATCACTGGCATGCTGATTTACATTGTTTGTATTCCCTCTATTTCTTTTTTTTTTCTTACTATCTCTTCCTTCCTTTCTCCTCCTTCTCTCTCTCCCTCTCTCTAGTTCCTTTCTTTTTTTGTCATCGTGACCTACAATCACTTGAAACGAGATTTCTTATAAAAAACTTTCCGGAAACATAGCAAAAGATAGTAGTTCTTCTTCCTTGTGTGCTACAACTGAGTCATCAGAACCTTGCATTGTCATCCAGTTGAACACTTGACCTAATACGTCTGTGTGGGATACAAATCTTTTGGATCTATGCAGACAGCGAACACATTGTGTACACATCTGCCAAGCTCGTCTGTGAGAATTTAATTCTGATTGTTCCGATAACAGGGATCCATCTCTTGACTTCGACAGTGCCTTTGTATATTTTTCCCAATATCCGAAGCAGAGATCATCCAACGATTTTTCATTATAAATAGACGAGAAGAGAAAGTCATCCCAGCATTGGCACGAAGATATACGTTTTAACAACGTAAAATATAGATGATTAAGGTCCGTGCGCTGCCTCTCAGTGAATAAGGGATAAATTCCGAACAACCACGTAAAGTAAGGTAGTACAAAGGTAGAAAACAGAATTCTTCGAAGTTGAGTTGATGATGTACCATTAATTCTGAACGAATTTACTAATGCGGTTTTCTGGCGTACCGTTACTTGAGTTTTACCGATGACATTTCCCCACCCAAGCCTAGTTGTTAAACAGTATCCTAAATATTTGAACGAGGAAGTCCATTCGATCGTATTATCTCCACATCTAACTTGTGGCATTGGGTTCGGATAACAAACAGCACGCGCCGAGAACATAATTTGTGTTTTAGAGTAATTAATAGGTTGCACCGCTAATATCGAGTAGAATTCCAGTTGTTCGAAAAACTTTTGTAGTCTTCGTTCCAGATCAACACATTGTTCTGTAAATTTTAATCCGATTTGTCCCGCCAATACAGCTGCGAGATCATCAGCAAAGAAGAAGGACATTGCCCCGGGAATAAAATCCTCCATATCACTATGATAAGTAATGAATAACGTTGGTGTTAAACTAGACCCTTGCGGGCCACCTCTGTTAATATTGATCCATCTCGATCTTTTACCTTGTATCTCGATTGTCACTTGACGATCATTTAACCATGCTTGAATCCATTTGACATACATACTTGGAATTCCCATTCGAATCAACTTTCCCAGACACCCTTCAAACCAAAGTTGATCAAATGCAGATTTAAAATCAACGAAGACTGTCGCAACCGGCGAACTATTTGACATGTAAGATGACATTTGTTCAATGAGCAGTAGCACACGTGTTTGATGTCTATGCCCAGCCCGAAAACCAGATTGATTATCAGGAAGAATGCCTCGGTCCTTCAATACTTGTAGAAAACGATTGAGAAACAGTCTTTCTTGCGTTTTTAAAAAAGAGTCAAGCAACGAGATAGGTCTTGTTTGATCCGGAGTGCATATAGCATTTTTCTTAGCCAGTGGTACCATTCTTACTTCTTTAAATTTCTTCAATATGTAACCATTAGTGAAAGAATCATTGTACAACTTAACAAATAAGTGCCAATAATTTTTAGGGATTTTATCAAGCAGAAATGGTGAGAGTCCATGTATATCAAGCGATTGTTTCTTCTTTCTTGTACGTAGAACATTTAAAACTTCTGGATAAGTGACTAGTGGTATAAGTTCCGACACGTTTACACATTGTACAGTAGGGGCATCAACATATGGATGCGGACGAACGACCACCGGTGCTTCAAATAGTGTTTCATAATAATTTGCTGCTGTATCTACCATCGCTTGCAGGTCCTTTATTGTTTCACCGTTCAGAAGTAAGAAACCTCTTAATGATGATGAAGCAGTTCGAAAATGTCTTTTGGTTTTACTCCAGAATACTCTCGAGCACTCACCAGGAACATGTCTTTCCTTTAACTGTTGTGTGAGATGAAACTGCTGATAGCGTTTTAATTCGAAGCGAGCGATGTTCCTAAGACGACGAGCTTCCTGGCGTAGAAAGATATCTCCCTTCCGCTTTGCTTTGTACGATAGTGATCTACTTCGTGCTAGGAGTGTCATAAGTTCATGTGGTACCGACTGTCTGGCTCGCTTGAGTGGAAAGTATTGCGTACATCTTGCAGCAAGCGATACAATAAAAGATATAAATCGTTCATATGTAATATCATACGGTCCGGAGTTCCATTCTTTTTCCCAGATTGCATATATATAAGAAAGCATTAGCGAAAAAACTGACCATATTATACGCGATCCTTGACGCTTTAAAACTGTATCACATGCAAGCACCATAAGAAGAGGCTTATGATCACTAGAAGTGTCATCTTCAGATGTTTGAATTGATAGATTCATACCGGCTGCTAAGGCATAATCAATTGTACGATCCGAACGAAGAGATGTATTAGAATCTGGAACAAAAGGACCAAGAGAACATGTGTCCATCCATTCGAGTAAACGTTCAGCTTTATCACCATCCTTTTCGATATCGATGTTGAAATCACCTGTAATTATACAACGATTAGTGATAAATGATGATAAATCCACCCATTCCCAGGATTTGCTTGCTGGAGCGTAGATTGCTACAAGTCTAATTGTTTGTTCTGCCAGTAGATCAATTACACAGACGTTTGATAATGAGCATGAAATTCTCGTAGCTGGAATATCATTATGTATCAATACTAGAACACCACCGTGTGCATTTTCACCAGTTTGATAGAAGATTCGGTAGTTAGAGAATGCGGCACCCAATAGAGAGAGGTCGACATGTCCAACCTCACCAAGTACTATAATATCGAAACGATGTTTTTTCACCAGCAGGCAAACTTCCCCCCAACGTAGATCCAGACCACGAACATTAAAGCAGAGTAAATGCATATATGAATACGTTTGATTAACATGCGGTTTTTGGTAGGTTTTCCAATTCGACAGTAGATCATTTAATGATGAAGAGGCGTGCCAATCAATAAGAATTTCTGAAAACAGCTCCAAGTCCTTCGATGAAAGCGTATTGCGAGCATAATCTATAAACTGAGTTGCTTGAGTATCATGATTAAATTTGTCCTCGACTGTCTCTATCATTGTTTAGATTTCGAACGGGACAATCTAAATTCTTCTAGAAGATTGATTTGTTCTTGCCAATACGATTTCCAACTCGATCTTTGTGCAACTTGTGGGTCCAATATTGCTGTACAAACGTTTTGCAAGATTGTGTAGACTCTTATTGTTAAATCCTCAAAATTCTTTTCCATTGTTTTCACTTTATTGTCTAGCACTTCTACTTGCTGTTTTGTCTCTTCGTAACGATTTTTCATTTCTTCTTTCAGTTCTTCGAGAGAGCGACGCGTTGCACTAGATTCTTCTTCCACTTTAACTAAAATGTTATCAAGTTTCTTTAATAAGACATCATTTACATTTGATGGCATCCCTTTAACTATCGAGGCATAAGAACCACCAAAAGTCGAATCGCCAATCGGGATATTGTTTGTAATTGGTTGTAGATTTGTATATTCACTATTTGCTGAAATCGGTTTAGCTAAGAGATTACGAGTAAGTGCGGCACGATAGTCTTTTACCACTTTACATTTTGAATCATTTGAAATATGTGGTCCTGCGCAATGAATGCATTTTGGAATACCAGAGCATTGATGATCGTTCAGATTTGAACATTTTTCACCACATGTTTTGCACGTTGATTCATTCTTCTGTGTACAGTTCTTTCTGAAGTGCCCTATTCCGTAACAGTTGGAGCAAATCAATACATTGGCTTGTGTAAAAAATTCGACTACTTTTAGTTTTAAGTGCATGACCGTGATTTCATTGGCTTCTAGTATTTCTTTGCGTAAACTAGTCGATAAAAATTCTAGTTTAACAGCGCGTACTGGCTGTTGTGCTTTATTTTTTAAACGTATAATGTCTACAATACCAGGGTATTTTTCTTTTAATTCGTGTACGAAATCTTCCCAATCAATCTGTAAAGAGACAGCCGGTAGCACTAACGACAGCTGAGGCGGAATTGATGGACGTTTTGTTGTAAATTCGTGTCCAGCTAATGTTGTAGGCCAGTTGCCACGTTCATATAAGAATGAAAACGATTCACTGTTCTCGACGAAAACCAAAATACGACACTCGTTATTGTCTGAACGTCCACGCCGATAGGCTATCGTTTTTAACTCAAAATGAAAATTTTCCTTTGCATGTTTCATTAGATCATCGATGACGACTTTTTCCCTAACTTGATGCAAGAAGATTACCGAAAAAGGTGAGAACGGGAAGCGAGATGTAGCATATCGACAAGCAGCCATTGAAGGCTGTTGTTGGTCATATGTTGATTCTGCGATGTTTCTTCCTTCCATGATATTGTAATTTAATTGTTCTTGATGATTTTGTTCGTAACGATAAGGATACGAGTTTTCCTTTTGCTGCTGATTGATTCCACAGTGACACTTGTTAGGTGAGCCAGTCCACATAAGCCACGACCGACCTCATAGGGACCCTGCTCAATCGAGGTCGTCAGATCTTGCTCAATTTAAGAGATGTGATAGAGGGAAGAGTTCTAAGAATTTTGGCGCAAGCCGTTTTAAAAAATATTGATCCCTCGATTTTTTATGAACATTTTACGAAAAGCCCTAAAATTGGCCATATTCATCAACGGGAGTGCTAATGAGGCTATATCTCAAAAATGGCTCGTCCGATTGAGCTGAAATTTTTTGCTGATATATATCTCAGTGAGTCCTATTTACCATAAAATTTTTGTTGAAAAATATTAAGCCCTTAGGATTTTATGAATTACTCAATATATGAAAAAAGTCACTTTTTTTGCAACTTTGGTACTTCATAACTTTTGATTGGAACTAGATTATGGTCTGAAATTTTTATTGTGGACAGATACCTTAAAGATGTATCGCTCCGAAAAGTTTCAACTCTCTAGCTTGTTCTCTTCAGTCAGGAGACACCTCTCAAAAACTGGTTTTTGATAAAAATGCCAGTTTTCAGAAATAGCTTTCTCCCAAGAAATGGATTATCTGGGAAGCTGGAATTGTAAAGTCGAAAGTCCTCTCTCTGGGCTACAATTCTGTAAAAAAATTAGCGTGGGATCTCCATAAACGGCTTGCACCGGACGTCATCTTTATGAGGTTTTTTGCCAAGTAGTATTCTTTTGGGTACCTCTTCCATCTCATACAAACGTATCAACAGCCAAGTTGAATTTCAGCGATTGAAGGTCTTACTACTCACAGACTTGTAATAAAAAAATCCTTCGAACCTTGACTTGTCATCATGGTTTTTTTGAGATCACAAAATATCAACTTTGGGCCTGGAATGGCGAATTCATGAATATTCGACATTTTGTGGTATTGACTTTTTTCTATAACTAAAAACAGGGATTGCAATTTTTCGTATAGATGTATAGTATTAAGTTAGTAGATTCCTTACACTACTACATTAGCTCATCTATCTCACTCATATTGTAATTAGTCTGATGGAAGATTATCAAAAAAAATGAGGAAATAGGAAAAATAGCCTGTTTTCAGAAATAGTGTTTAGCATCATAATATAATAGATTAGTGGTCGGTTTTTGTCTTACTATGCATAGATATATCTTGTGCCTATTCACAGATGTAGGAAACATTGGTATCAAAGATCTATATATATTGCCAATTGTGCTAGTGGGTGAAAGGTCAAAGGTCAAAGGTCAAGGGTCAATTGCCAAATGAAAAAACACCTATGTTGTATGAACAGGATTTCTTTAGTGGGTGATATGGATGAGCTGATGTAGTAGTGTAAGGAATCTACTAACTTAATACTATACATCTATACGAAAAATTGCAATCCCTGTTTTTAGTTATAGAAAAAAGTCAATACCACAAAATGTCGAATATTCATGAATTCGCCATTCCAGGCCCAAAGTTGATATTTTGTGATCTCAAAAAAACCATGATGACAAGTCAAGGTTCGAAGGATTTTTTTATTACAAGTCTGTGAGTAGTAAGACCTTCAATCGCTGAAATTCAACTTGGCTGTTGATACGTTTGTATGAGATGGAAGAGGTACCCAAAAGAATACTACTTGGCAAAAAACCTCATAAAGATGACGTCCGGTGCAAGCCGTTTATGGAGATCCCACGCTAATTTTTTTACAGAATTGTAGCCCAGAGAGAGGACTTTCGACTTTACAATTCCAGCTTCCCAGATAATCCATTTCTTGGGAGAAAGCTATTTCTGAAAACTGGCATTTTTATCAAAAACCAGTTTTTGAGAGGTGTCTCCTGACTGAAGAGAACAAGCTAGAGAGTTGAAACTTTTCGGAGCGATACATCTTTAAGGTATCTGTCCACAATAAAAATTTCAGACCATAATCTAGTTCCAATCAAAAGTTATGAAGTACCAAAGTTGCAAAAAAAGTGACTTTTTTCATATATTGAGTAATTCATAAAATCCTAAGGGCTTAATATTTTTCAACAAAAATTTTATGGTAAATAGGACTCACTGAGATATATATCAGCAAAAAATTTCAGCTCAATCGGACGAGCCATTTTTGAGATATAGCCTCATTAGCACTCCCGTTGATGAATATGGCCAATTTTAGGGCTTTTCGTAAAATGTTCATAAAAAATCGAGGGATCAATATTTTTTAAAACGGCTTGCGCCAAAATTCTTAGAACTCTTCCCTCTATCACATCTCTTAAATTGAGCAAGATCTGACGACCTCGATTGAGCAGAGTCGGTCGTGGCTTACATGGACTGGCTCAGGTGTATTACGAGCATTAAAAATACGAGTTGTCTGATAGTATTGAGGTCGTTCTTGCGCATTCGAATCCGAAACCCCACTGATGTCGTTGCGACCTCTCTTGGTAGTAGCAGACATTGGTGTTGAAGAAACAGTAGGATTAGTCATTGATGACGCAAACAAAACATTAGTATTAACCGGAGGATGATATGATGAAACTAACGCTTGTTGTGGATTCATGTTGGAATGTAACATCGCTTGTTGTACATACGCAGATGAAACGTTAATAGTTGATGGTACTTGTTGCTGATAAAGTTGATGTTGAGTTACCATATTATTTGGTGAATAATGATTAACGATTTGACTATTTGGTGTAGGTTGAACACATATATAAGATTGAGGCAAACTGTACGGTTGGTATATTACTGGAGCCGAGCCATAAGCAATTTGCTGTTCTTTCGATATTTCATGATTGGTGGTACATGTAGTATTATTTGACGTTGTAATCCGACACTGATTTTCATCAGCCATGTGAACTGTTTTCTGTTGTTCAGATATATTAAAAGAGTGTCCCTTTGGAGAGGACATTTGTCACCAGAATCAAAAGTTACAAACTTAGATTCTGTGACCAAAAAAAAAAAGGAACGAAAATAGCAGAAAAGAAACAGACAAGAGCAGACGCGTCTTATCACTAGTAAAGCGAGTGAGGGAATGATTAAAACATTTCCTTCATTATATGTAAATGCAGTAGATAAAACTAATTTTATATTTCCAAATATTTTTTTGAAACTTCGAATTATTTAAAAGTCTCATTTATAACTTACACATAAATAAATATTCAAGGCAAACAAATATTTTTCTTTTAATTCTATTAAAATTTTCATTGCACGTATAGAAATTTATTTTGATAAACTAGATTTCAAAACATAGATCTCTTATTATATACGGAAATCATATTTTATAAGTTAAATTTCTACGATTTGAAATAGAATTTTTTTCTATTATATTCAGAGAACAATTAAGATTATAATAATCTTGTTTAGTTATATTCATTGATATTGTTGTTAAAATAATTTATTTAACTAATTAAATAATGTATAAGTGTACAAAGATGCTCGCATTTGATTTGTTATCTTCATTTGTTTTTCTTATTTAGAATATTTAGAAAATTAATCATTATTATTATCCTGAAAATTATTTATTTTATCTTCGTGTTATCAAGTGTTAACATCATATCACTATGAAGATAAACAATTTATTCATTTAAACATAATAATCGATATGAATTTACTAATATAAGAAATTATTCAATATGTAATACGAAGAAAAAGAGAGTATTTTCATCGAAATTTGTTTCTTTTTAATAAATCATTCGTATTTGTACATATTAATTTAAAAAGCTTGTCAGCGCAGCTCCTTTGGAGCTGAAATGTGGAACTCACGTATATCCTTTCAATTTGTTATTCTACTGCATTATTTGTAAACTAAAACATACTATTTTTTCAAATAATTATGAATGCATTAGAATACTGTATAGAATCTG